CGTCGGTCGGTCGTTACTATATACAAGAACTAACAACATATACTAGTAAATAGTCTAGCTCGTCTCGTACCGTACACTCCGCCGTCGGTCCGTACGAGACAGAGGAGTATATATATATATATATATATATATATATATACGGGAATATATATGTGTAAATTAATTTTTTTCCGCCCATACGGCTCATTAATCCGCTGACCATTAATTGATACCTAACCTTATGCCTCGAGCAGGGTGAAGGAGGATTGCTAATCTTCGAGCACTCTTGATTAGTAATTATTTCCTAAAAGATAATTATTTTTAACTTAAAATGACTGCCAGGAACAAAATAAAAACATTGGGGAGATAAATGAGGAGAGAACAGTAGTTACTCTGAGTTCCCTGTCACTTATTATTCTGTTAGTTTCGAGCTAGTGAGCAGTAAAGTGTGTGTGTTTTGCACTCGTCAAGAGCGAAATAATCGAGATTGTGAATGCTGTTATTTGTAGTGTTAAGTTTAAAGTGACGAGAAACGTACTGATTGTGTACTAAAAGTTTGTGTCGAGAAAGAATAAACTGGTTTAATCAAGAATGGACTTTATAAGTGAAACATTAAATCTTATATTTTAATCACCATTTCCTATCACTTTTATATTTTTCATTTATATATTTAACTGTATTACATTTTTATAAAGACAGATGGTGTTTCTATAGGCGGACAGTTTTGCCATACTTCTGTAGGATTGCATACAGATTTCAATTTGTGTCAACTTATGTTTATAGTTTTCACTTATATAACTAACTGTATTACGTGTGTTTCTATAAGTGGATAGTGTTACTAACACATTTAATGTACTGCTGAAACGTTTTGTTACACTTAATGTTTTGTTTTTGTAAATATTGAACGAGACAGTTACATCATTATTCCATTGCCGATAGTGTTTTTATGTATCAATTTAGTATATATTTAATGTAATGATTATAGTTTCGCTACTATAGCTAATTTGCATGATATATTTTTGGCATTTTCTTACATTTTATGTCTAAAATGATTATTGCTAATTCATTTCTACATTATATAACTGTTACATCTCCGTTAATTGATTAACTTTCCGTAACTTTTTTCCGACGAACTTTAGCGACACAAGTCCTTACTTAATAAAACTGGTTTATTCTTTCCGAATATAACTTCACGATTCACTTGATTTCAACATTCGCGCTAAAACAAACGCTATAACG